ACACACACATTCTTGCACACACATCATTTTCTTTATTGCTCCCTACCTTTGGGAGCCGATGTGGGGCCTCTCCCTGGGGTCCAGTGGGGACCTTCAATCTGCTCCTCACTGCTCCCTTGCGCGGTTTAGTGTTGTCGGGTGCCGGAATATGACGTCATACTCCGGCGCCCGGCTTCAGTACAGATGGCGTGCGTGAAGGAGCCGCAAAAATGTCCATTGTGGGCCGCCTGTGGCCCACAGGACGCGAGTTTGACATGCTTGCTCTACACAATTTTTTTTAGTTTAGGGAATACCTTACAGAGGTTTAGTCATTAAACTTTGAAATTTAGTGAATTGAAATATTAATTGTAAATTATAGGCAAATATTATTATTTGATAAAATTCTCTAGTTCAGCCTAGATACAACTTGGCTATTTGAATCTACATTTTGCAATTCAGATTGGAATTTCTAGTGTATAAACTCCGGGTCTCTGCATAAAAGGGGTTAACCGCCGTTTAGTAGATCTTCCCTTCCAGAGATACAGGCACAGCTACTGCAGAACACCAATCCGCCAAACAGGAAACCATAAGAATGCCGTAAACAGCCGAATAGGAAAAACCATATGAATAGGTTTACACTCCTAGCAGTCAAACTGGAACAGAATACAATAAATCCCCCCAAGAACGAGACAAGGCTCCGTTTTGAGGGTCAAGCAGGAACAGCCAGAGCTGTGGGTTTATTGTTCTTGTGTACCCATTCTTACACATTAGTACCACCCACAGGGTTTTGGAAAACAACCAATAAACATGTACAATACACTCAGACACTCCCACACAAAATCCTCCCCTCTGCCTGTGATACAATTACATTACACAATGGGTAATGTAATTATCACAGCCAGAGAAACACATTATTAATAACTTGAAAAGTATGCATCACATGCACATAAAACTTACATCAGAATCAGCATACTCCAAATACAAACATATGTCAAAATCATCCAAATTGGTCCATTGGTTCAAAAGATAGATCGAAGTCTTTTGTGACCAAATGAAGCATGGCTTTTCTGCCCAAAACCAGTTCCACAGAGTCTTCTATCCTGGAGATAATTGGGAAGTAATCCAATTATCTCCAAGGACAGAGGCAAAACTCCATTGAACACATGGCAGCAAAAGACAATAAAACACATAAAAATATATAACTGTGCAGCCATTGCACAAAACAGGTACATTCAACATATCCCCAGATAGCTCAGATCTGAGCGCACATTATTACTGAATGGCGCTCAGAGCACACACATACAGTTCAATTGCCATGGAGCCAAAGTCTTTCCCATAGTCTTTCATTATACGAATGGGCTCCATGGCATAGCTATCTGGGGTATCAACGCTCAAACAGGGCAAGCACCGAATGACCCGGCTTTCGTGTCTTCGCAGGGGAAAATCAAGCGTTTCAACATTGGGCCATAGTCTAAAGGGAGCAGGCGAGCAACCAGGCTTCTCCAGTGCATAGTGGCGAGGTTGGTTCCGCCACACAGTCTATGATGCAGACAGCCTGCTGCTGGTTCATTGAATAAGGGCAGTCCAATCTCCCCACACTGTAGAGCCTCCTATGTAGCAGAATCAAACTGCAAGTAGTTTTTTGTTTTTTTTCTTATGTGTTTACCGCATTTTCCCTTTTTTAAATGTTTTTTTTTGTACTCACATGTCACTCTTTGTGATTTACATACTGTAATGTCATATCCTGTGATTTCACGCATATATAATTCATTAAGAAAATTA